CACACACACACACACACACACACACACAGAGAAAATCAGTATCAGCATCAATCACTTAGATGCAACATCAGCTGTTACCAAAACATACCTGACCACATTCCTCAAACTGATCATCGTGTTCATAAAGGTTAAACATGGGTGTGACCAATAGAATGTGACCACAGCACAAGGGTGTTGTTTTTTTACGACACCTCTTTTGTCACGCGAGCTAGCAACAGCTCTACAGAATGAAGATATGAAGAATGTAGATACCTGGCCTCGTGTTTTCCTTTCAACAAGCCAGATCCCTCGACTGTCAGCACAGCTCCGTCCAGAGTTTTTGTTAAGTTGTTGGTGAAGTACACCTGGACTGTGTGCTCCTTGTATATGTGGAGGCTGTCCCCTCCTTCGATCTGCAGAGCAGCAGGTTACAGGATCAGATGATCAGCCCCCAACCCCTCAAAAAGAACAGTGCTGCAGACTTGTGACCACTCGCCCTGGAGGTGGGGTGGCTGATAAATATAAAGACTATTGATATGAGCTACTTTGCAAAAAATACACTTATACTTAAGTGAACTGAACAGTGGGTAACCTGGCTGCTGTTTACCTCCACGCTTATCTGTGGTGAGCTTATGTTGAATTCCTGTGCATGCATGACTCTTTCTTTAGTCTGTTCGTCCTTTATCACCACTGCAAGATTCACAATATTCTGAGCTGCCAGGACCGACTCGTACTCAGATGCTGGGATGGTGTGCTGCAGAGTCAAAGCTGCAGGGAATGTAAAGGAGTTAGGTGTTAAAAAATGAACATAAGAGAAAGAGAACTCATGAGAAAGTGCCAACAATTTGAGTGTATGTTTTAAGGTTCTCTATTTAAAAGTAAGGATATCCAACAACATTTCCAGGGGGTACACCCTATGTCTTAGTATTTGTTAGAGGCCTCCTTACTTTGATGCGGCTGTATGTGCACCTCTTTGTGCATTTCCCAGAAGCTCTCCTGTGGGCTCCTGTTGTACTCTTTAATCTGAGCATTGAGATGTTCCACCAGGACCCTGGAGTGGCCCAAGTTATTAGTGACCGTTACACTCATCCAAATGCTCTCACCCCATGATGGCTTCCCTTTTATTTTCAGGGACACCTCCAAACCAGGTGCCGGTTCCTCTGGAGATGAAGCTGGGAGACATGTACATTGTGATAAACAGATACACTGATGAAGAATGCATTTGTTATATTTTAAAAGATGTGCTATAACTATTGGTGACACTTTCAGCCTCAGAACAAACTGGTTTTTGTGTTTGCTGCCAATTTCGTGTGAAAAACAACCGACCACATTCACAGAAATGTTAAAAACTTATCATGACGCCATGCAACCACCAATGTTTGTTGTAGAATGGGTTTCAAATTTAAATTATGTGATGTGGAAACTATGAAGAGCAACAACTGCAGTTATGTAAAGCAGGAAGACACACATAAACATAATGCAAACACTTTCTTTTTGAAAATTAAGAGAAAATCTAAATGCTCAATTGTAAATCAAGGCGATAAATGCTTACTTTTCAGTGACAGAACAAAAAAATAGGCACACTGATACGATGCAAAACTGCTGGAAGGTTCTGTTACAGTTTCATGTCAAACAGTAATATTATAACATCCAAACTAATATTTACAACATGATAAAATGTAATTCAAGTCAGAGGCAAAGTCAAATATTTAAAAATAGGCCCGGGTGCTTTTTGTTCATCACAGTGTGAAGCATTTAACATTTGACCTCTAATCTCCCGCTAGAGACCGCTGAAATATACGGTACATATATACACAACATATAAGCAGACATGTTTGCATAATCGCCAAATAAAAAACATTAAGGGGCCACAAAAATGATCATTCATAATTTTCTATTCACTAAAGAACAAAATATTGAGTGTGAATCCTGAATAAGGAAGGGATTTCAGACACAGCACAAATATTCAAAGTACTTCACAGTACAGTTTCACCCAGTCACACATTCATACAGTGCAGCACTTTCTCTATTGTACACCACACACTCTGCCTGCACAGGGGACATTTGGGGCCACAGCCTGAGTTACAGTCACAAAGAAACCAGAAGAGTGTTTGATTTTTGACACTGAGTTGAATTAATGCTTACCTATTTCTGCTGTCTGACAACTCGACACAACAGCAGAACGGCAGTAGGAGAAATTACGTGCTGTAAAAGGGATATTTTGTTACTCAGGGAGATTGTTGTTCCTCAAGGGACTAAGCTCGACTACATGCTGTCAGCACACTTTTCAAATTAGGCTTTGTGCAAATAGAATGACGGAGGCCATTACATAGTTTCAAACTCAAATTTTCACAAAATTAACTTGTTTTTGTCTTTTCCTTTCTGCTCAATTTCTCAATCTTTGATCCTTAAACTATACATTCAATTTGCAATTTGTGTGCACATATGTATTCTTGCATGGGGAGAGGAAGGTGAAGATGTTTTGTTAACAAAGCCACTGACCTGTACATACAGGTTGCGCCCCTGAAAAGGGAAAATGGGAGAAAAAAATCATTATCAAACATGTGGAAAACAAAAACTGAGCATATCTTACTTCAGCTGTCTCCACATTTTGCATTTGCATCATGCAGGCTCTCCTCAAAACACAAAATTGTAATGTATCTGTTTACTGTATCTCAATAAATCCCTCTCCAGAAAGCTTCACAGCCACAGGACCCTCTCTTACTTTTCTTCATCTTATAAGCAGGTGTCAGATTCTCTGGGGAGTCTGAGCCAATTCCCTTGGTGTAGATCACCTTCCCCACCCTCTCAGTGTCCACCGTCCTCCCCACCACCTGTCCATTGCGTACAATTAACCGTATGACATCAGCATCAACAGAGGCAAAGATGAACGGGGTGTCGAATGGGGCACGAAGGCAGCGTTGCTGAACAGCAGCTACAGGGCATGGGCCACAGCAGAATATCCCTGCAGAGACAAGATCAGAAGTCAAGGTCAATTTTACTGTCGATTCTACCATCAATACAGGACATAGACTGGGTTGACATACCGTTCGTCTCCGATCACCGGTGTAGACATAAGCACCAAAATATGTACATGTGCTCAAAAGAACACAGGGTAGATTGGATATGAACTGAACTGTAGTATTGTACATAATGGAATAGTGCAAATTAGATTAAGCAGTGGAAATACTAATGTGCAGATAATGTAAAGTTGTGACGAGTAATGTTCATCCACAGAATGAGTCAAATAGCAGCATTTACAGTCAAATAGCAGCAAATATAGTGAAAATGTGTTAATTGTTACATATCAGCTCATGAATACTCACAGGTCAGTCACCTTCCTACAGAAGAAGGAATCTTTTGTGTCATATCCTGTCTGATAAAGTAGTTTTTCGGCATTTCCAAACAATTATTAAAATCCCAATAAATGACAACACTGTATTGAGGACAATATGGAGCAGGGACCCACCAGCACTTTTCTCTTGGGGTGTGGGGTCCACTACCTGCCAGCCATCAAACGCTGCACTGAGATCTGGTCTTCTCATCCAGCACTCAACCCACACATGGAAGTTCCTGCAGGTCATACAGGGATTGACACACACACACACACACACACACACACACACACA